ATAGAAAAACAAACAAAATAATGTTAAAACTTTTTTTATTTTTCAATGTAATCTCCTCTGTTAGCAATGCACTTATTCCAGCGATGTTCTAGCTTTTTTATGCCATCACAATAGGTCGATTTGTCAAGGTGTGCAAAATACTCGTTCACTTCAGAGATGACTTCGTCATTTGAGTGGAATCTCTTTCCAGCCAAGAATTTTTTTAGGTTTGGAAAAAGGTGGAAGTGGTGGAACTGGGGGCCAAATCAGGTGAGTACGGTGGATGTGGAACAAATTGGAAGCGAAGTTCGTTTATCTTTTGTTCAGTGATTCTGGCGGAATGTGCAGGTGCATTATCGTGGTGGAACAGAACTTTGTGATTGATATGATTATTCGTTCTTTGATTGACCATTTTGAATTAATTGATTATTTCTGATTCTATATTAATATTGTTTATTTGTTTATTAAATTCTATATACTTTGTTAAGAGATGTCTCTGTATTATTGTTTCCTGAATCAGATCTATGGTATAAATTCCACGCATGTTTATCCGCGTTACGCAAAGTAGATAAACTGGTGTCAGGACCTGACAAGATCTAGAATTTACCCTCTAGATCATTTATAAACATTTTTCTCGCCCTCCTAGAAAAAGTTTAGAGAGCCAATCACACGATCGTGCGCCAGTAAGTGATATAGGTGACATACCTATACCTTTGGTTTCTCACATGTATTACATTGCACGCACAACTTCAAACATGTTCAAAAATTAAATGTTTGTTCTTAACAATTTTACCAAATATTTTCAAATTAAGAAATGTGTTCTGATATTCTTTTCAGAATATTCTGTACATTATTTTAAAATATTTATATTTATTTGCCTGACGACGATGATTATAAATTCATCGAAAGTACTTGCGATAAAAAGTGCTTATAATGCCAAACTCAGTGAACTCTGTTCTAATATATTTTTTAATTATACCATCCAATTATTTATATAATTGTCCATTATTGAACACAATTTACACAATTTGTTATATTCTAGTTTAACATAATTTTAATCATTATCCAAAAAAACACATTATTGCTTTAATTATAATAACTGATATTTTAGATATGTTGCATTTGGAGTTTGGTATAAGCTGAAATTTTATTACATATAAAAATTTTTCAAAAATATAAAGCAAGAACTACTACCATTTTAACATAATAACTAACTGCCCATAGAGGAGCAGCATAAAGTAATAAAGACAAAACCATTGAATAACACACATTATAAACAATGGTGAAAATATCAACTGTATATTAAAATATCCAAAACCATGATGGAACCAGGATTGTGAGGCAGTATATAAACAACGAAAGAAAGCATGGGGAATTTTCAGAAGATACCCCACTGAATTTAATTGCATTGAAATGCAATTAAATGGGGAATTTAATTGCATTTCAAAAGGCAAATAAAAATTCAATTAACATGGTATTATTTTTGAGAGTAGATTCATATTTTTAGCTACAAACACTCAATCAGCAGATGAATTAAATGTCAAATGTATTCATAACAAACAGTTACATCTGGCCAAATTTCTCTAAACTAGAGATATGTGATAACACTCAGATGTAGAAGATTTAAAATGAAATATCCAAACAGTTTGGCTTGAAATGGTCATCTTTAGATAATTTAGTATTTTATAATGAATTCCTTCACCAATATTTTTGTGATAAATAAATTGATATTTATGATTTATTAGGTTAAGTTAGGCTAAGGGATCTAATTCCAAAAATTTTTTTGTAAAGGAATATGATTAAAACAAATCCAATTTTTAAAAAATTCATTAAATTCAGATAATATAATTATTAACTGATAGTTGACTCATGGCTAATATTTTTCATATATCATCAACTCTGTGTTATGAAATTAAATAATTTACTTTTCCACTGATCATCTACGTTTATATTTAGGGTAAAGTAAACATTTTGAATTATAATTATATAATATATATATAATTATTTATATAATTGTTTTTTGTATTAATTTGTATTGTGTAAATGTTCATAAAAAATACAATTCACAAGAGTAATAATTAAGTTATAAATTTAATTTACAGTATAAAAATATAATTTTATTTGAAAACACTTATTATTATATATATATTATTTTCTTTGAAAAATATATTAAGCATTAAAAATCACTTAAAGCCACTTCATCCACCAATTGTAATCATTGGTCGATTTTTCTGTTTAGCAATATTAAACATACCTAAAATATACATAATAAATTAATTTAGTTAAATAATGAAAATCTGTTTTTAAAATTGCAACAATAATTTTAATTCTAACAGAAACATTACCTGCATGCTGTTTTTTCTTTTTTATCAAAGCACTTTTAATGATGTCAATCAAATCATTCTCAGATATACCTGAACGCAAAGCATCTCTTAATGATATTTCATTTGGACCAAATAAACAGACCTGTGGAAAATATTATGCAATTTAATATAAAACATTTAACTAAAATTAAATGAAAAATATGTTTTCATAATTTACTTAGCTTTAGAGAATGGTTAAAATTTAGTTTATTTACTTATCATTATTTGTAAAAATATTANCACCACACACAAATTTGAACTCATCACGTGGTGTGATATCTGAAAGTGATCTGATGTCTGAGGATGAATCGGATATTCATATCGGTCTTTCAGACCAAGGTGTCACTGCTGTTCGACGAATTTCAATCCGTCGAGATGGCAAGTTGATACCAACGAAACACCTTATTTTGACTTTTAACAAACCAACATTGCCATCTTCTGTTGCGGCAGGATATCTCCGTTGCCCAGTTCGCCCATACATCCCAAACCCGCTACGATGCTTTAAATGTCAGCGGTTTGGACACTCCCAAACATCATGCAGAGGAAAAAAAGCATGTGCACAGTGTGGAAATGAAGACCATGAGAGTAATGAATGCACAAGTTCTCCATGCTGTGTGAACTGCAAAGATGCTCATCCTGCCTACTCTCGGAAATGCCCTTCATGGCAGAGAGAGAAAGAAATTCAGCGATTGAAGACTATTAATAATATATCCTACCCGGAGGCACGTCGTATGGTCACCTTAAATACACCAGTGAAACAAAAGACATTCACTGCTGCTCTGAAATCCACAAAGACATGTGGAGTTCAGACAGACATTTCTGTTTCACCCGATGAATCTCTGACTCGCCATGAAAAATGTCTGCTGGTACCATCTACCAAAGCAACAGAAAAAGAGAATAACAAAGCAAAACCACTCATACCTAAAACAGGGGTAACAACTAGGAATGTGGGTTCCAAAAAAGCCAGTAAGAACCNTTTTGACAAATCAAGCGGAAATTGGTATCGTATCTTTAGCAAAGATGGCTGAATTATTCCCGCCAAAAATTAAATTGATCGCAGCGCCGCATATAGGCAAGGCCGCGAACTTTCCGAACAGCCCTCGTACTAGAAACTCGTAGAGTCCTTCGCTAGTAATGAAGCTTGTCTTGGCCCTATCTTTTTCTTTTACCAGTACTTGCCAATATCCTGATGACAAATCCAGTGTAGTAATGAATTTGGCCTTTTTTAGCGAATTCAACAAGTCTGAAATGATAGGTAAAGGAAATTTATCTGTTACCGTTATACTATTTAACTTACGATAATCTACACACAGTCTCCAGTCTCCCGTCTTCTTCTTTACCATCACTACAGGAGAAGCCCATGGCGAATTGGAAGGTCTGATTATCCCTTCTCTTAGCATTTCTGCTATTTGCCTTTGCATTTCTTTCTGCTTTACAGGCGAATACCTATACGGTCTGCTCGAAACTGGTGGGGCATCCCCCGTCTCGATGACATGTTCTACGTAGTTGGTGAGTCCAGGTTGGTCACTAAAAATATGCAAGAATTTATTCAAAACAGTGTTTAGTTTTGTTAAATTTTCTCCTTTCAATGGCGTCTGCAATTCCTTTAAGTCGCATTTAATACCTACCCCTGCATCGGGGATAGCAATTTCCATTTCTAAGTTACGAAAATCTAACAATACCTTATATTTTTGTAGGAAGTCTCTTCCAAGCAGGCATGGGAGTATGAGTCTGTCGATCACAACGAGTTCATTAGGTAATAAGGTACCATTTAAGCGAAGATTGGCCATAAATACGCCCTTTGTTTTATAGGATCTACCCTCTATGGCTAATTTTATGTCAGGGCCTGGGCGAAGAATTATCTCAGGGGATTTTCGAATAATTTCAGGTAGAGTCATCAGGGAAAAGTTTATTAATTAGATGATGGTAAGTTTCGCTGGTAGTTTTGGTATATTCATTTTTATTAATTATCAAAGAAGGAGGAATCTCAACTCTCCGATGTTTGTTGGCAGCAATATAATAAGGAGCTGACCAAGGCTTGTTTTTACCAACAGAGGTTCAAAAATCTAGTTAAGACTGCGTCCTGGCCTTGTTAATAGCAGTTTTATACGTGCGAAAAAGAGCACTATAACTATTTTGTAGCTCTTGCTTTCGAACATTATCAGTCTCTCTTCTCATCCTCTGCTTTTTTCTCCTCAGCGCAGATATTTGGTTTGCCAAGTCTGTGTTCCACCATAGAGCATGACACCTCACAGTACTAATGGTAGTAGCCTGGATATAGGCACTGTGCATAGTGTTGTTAAGAGAAATGACAATATTATCTAAGGCAGTTGGATCAGTAATATTGGCAATATTGTCGGGATTCCACATATCCTGGATTAAATGGTAGTAGAGATCCCAGTTGGTACGTTGGGAAATACTAAATTCAGGGATGAGCGTAGCGACCTCGATCAATAGCTCAATGTAGCTATGGTCACTAGCTGAGTGAATGTCCACTGTGTAGCACTGGATGTTCGTGATGTCAATTTTATTAGAACCCATGCAGACGTCAATCCAACTGTTTTCATTCGTGGAAGAAAAAGTTGGGAGAGGACTGGAGTTGAGGGAGGTAAGTTGAAGTTGGTTCATGAACTCCTCCACTAAATAGCCCTTGGGGTCTTCGACCGGGCTATGCCAGGAATGCGCCTGAGTTAATGATACAGTAAGAAGAGGTGTGCGAAGACCATAGATGGGAAAGGGGCTATGATTGGAGAGCAGAATTGGAAAATAAATGCGACAAGTAAAAGAGCGCTAATGGTTGCATGTGGCGAGGATGGGTTGGTCTATTTAGTTTAAGGGGTTGTCGAAGACTGATTTCCATGCAGAGGAGAGTGAGTCTGCATCTCTGCTATTGATACAACCGTTTCTGAGGGATTGCTTAAATATTTCAATTGCTTCAACTGTTCTAAGTTTGGTGTGGTCGTGCATAGGAATAATAATCCTTGCCTCTTCACATTTGGTCGTTATACTAGGTTCGCTTGCAAACTGGGCTATGGTGGAAGTGAACTTTTTGTTGCATGCGTCATACTTGTGCTCAGCTATCTTCTGTTTAAGTGATCTATTGGTTGGGCCAATGTATGTTAGCCTCTTGCATGGGTTAGATCTGCTGTCCTCTAGTGGGACCATGTAGACTCCTGGTCTCCTGGCTTCGTTGCATTTGTCCTTGGTATTAGCCAGAAGTTTATAAATCGTAGGGTTGCGTCTGTATGCGAGAGTAGCATTGATTTTTTTTTGCTATGAATTTAAAGGCATGGCTCATTCTAGGGTGAAAATCGACAGTAATGTGCTTACTTCGTTGCTTTAGAGGTTTGGAATTGACATCTATGGTTGTTAAGAATCTATGAATTTTTTGCACAAGCCTATCAATAAACTTATTGTTGAAACCATGGGCTGTGGCGAGGTGCTTGATGCATTGGATTTCTCATAGCACGTCCTTAATGCTAGAGCAATGGGTAAAAGCTCTGTGAATTAGAGTCCTGAAAGCAGAAACATACAAAATTAATTGCTGGCAGTGACTTAGGTCAGTGTTTGTTTTACAATCTTAGTAATAATTTTTAAATTGGAGAGATATTCGATCAGTCTTATGTATTAAGAAATTGAATGAAATAGCATGTGTGTGGGATTTTCCACTTGGTTATTGTTTTTCCACTCGACCTTTGAGTCGATCCTCTCATCATCATATTAACATATAACTTAACACGTTAACTGCCGGTTGTAATATGATACCTTACCAAAGGGGGGCCAAAGTGAGATAATTTGATACCTAATATTTTATTTTAATGCAAATAAAAGGGTCGATATACAACAGTCAGGAGAGGGGAGATGAGAAAGCTATAGGGTTGGCAATTAAGTGATTGCGGATATTAAATAAGAAAGAAAATTCAAAATTTTTGCTTAAAAGTATAACTTTATTCAATTAGGTATTGTCCATTTTTGTCAATGACCTCTTGCCATCTTTCAGGCAGTGTCATAATTCTATGTTCATAAAACTTCTGATTTTTGCCAGCAAAAAACTGAATTAAATGTGTTTTTACATCATCAGCATCATTAAAAATTTTACCATTTAAGGAGTTCTGCATGGAACGAAATAAATGGTAATTTGAAGGTGCAAGGTCAGGGCTATATGGTGGATGTGACAACACATCCCAACCTAGCTCCAATAATTTTTGTTGAGTGACCAAAGATGTGTGGGGCTTTGCATTATCATGCTGGAAAACAACACCCTTACGATTTGTCAATTCTGGCCGTTTTTCTTGAACTGCATTGCTTAGTTTGGCGAGTTGTTGAATGTATACATTTGAATTAATCGTTTGGTTTCTTGGTAAAAGTTCAAAGTACAGAATTCCTTTATAATTCCACCAAACTGACAGCATAATCTTTTTTTGGTGAATTTCAGATTTTGGTGTCATCTGGGCTGATTCATCTCGCATCACCCACGATTTTTTCTGATTAACATTGCTATAAACTATCCACTTTTCGTCGCCAGTAATCAGTCGTTTCAGAAATGGATCAATCTCATTGCGTTTCAGAAGTGAATCACAGATTCTAATGCATTGCATCAAATGAATTTCCTTAAGCTGATGAGGGACCCATATATTTAGTTTCTTGACATAGCCAAGCTGTTTTAATTTTTTTTGAATGCACGTATGTGATACATTGAGCTTCTGTGCAATCTCTCGCGTTGTGCTATGATGATCTGAATCGATAATGGCCTTGATATGGGTCTCATCAACTTCAACTGGACGGCCAGATTGTTGAGCATTTTTCAGTGAAAAATCACCAGAACGAAATTTGGCAAACCAATTTTGACACTGCCTTTCTTTCAAGGCTTCATTCCCATATACGGCACATAACTTCTTGTGTGCTTGTGATGCGTTTTGCCTTTTCGGAAATAATACAATAAAATATGTCTGAAATGCACGTCTTGTTCTTCCATTTTTAAATTGGGATAAAAACGAAACTAAATAACTAATAGATACAACTTTTTTACTAAATTAAACGTGGAAGTCCAAACAACAAGAAAACAATATGGGTTAAATGCTTTGAACACGATGACAAAGCAAAAAAATGTGCTATTGACAAAATCCACAATCACTTAGTTGCCAACCCTATATATGTACATCGACAGGTAGTCGTATGGCCGTGAAAGGCAGATTATTTTTTTCAGGCAATAAATTTTACAACCTGCTTTGATTAGACATCCTCCCCTACTTGAAAGTTTTTGCATCTTTGTGTTAAAAGTATTTCACACTTTGTTTCGACTGCAAATGATGTTTTTGTTTTTTGTAAATATATATTAAAACGTACTTATGTACTTTGATTTTTTTGTAATATTATTTACTTTATATGCAATAAAAGAGAAAAATTAAACTAGTTTTTGATATTTTAAACTATTTACTATTAAAATAAACCACTATCAGATATAAAATAGATTTTTATTAAAAAAAGACGACCACTGACCTTGAACACTTCATGAGGCCATTATGATGCACCGGCGGTCAGAGTTTCGACTGCTGGCGTTCCAAGCTAAGTGCGTAGACGTCCACGAGAGGCCACCACTAGCATGCAGAATAGGCCATCGAACAAATTTTTCAAAAAATTTGTTTGGTAGCCAGTCACCTGAAGATGACCTATTCCATTAGGCTGAAAAGGTTTGTTATTTAATAAATATTCTTAGCATTATAAGCTGTTAAGTGTTTTATTAAGTGTTATAAAATTAAAAATTGCACAAAAAGTTGTAAAATTGCATTTATTATAGTTAGAAAAATTATGTACCCTATTTTTCATTAAAACTGCATTTTTTCAATGACATAAATTAAAGAGAATATTGGGCAAAATATATTGTTGCTGGTATATATTTGAGGTTGGGCATTTTGGTCATCTTAGTTTGTTTGAATATATTTGAGTGCAGCCATTAACACTTACCATGCTGGTCCAGTTGATCTATTAGGTTAGTCCATAAGTTCGTGCGTATTTTATGACCTTGTTTTGCTGTTAAAAATGCCAGGCTAATGTGATACTTTTTACACTGAAGTGTTAAATTGGATCTCATTTATATAATACTGTTCAGAATTGGGAACATTTCAGTTGTTTATTTTCGTTAAAATGGAAGTAACAGATGAATATAAGAGACATGTTTTATACTTTTTATTTTTAAGTGGTGAGAATGCTACAAATGCAGCCAAAAAATTAAATACTGCTCATAATCAAACTGTAATAAGTGTAAGGACTGCGCAGAAGTGGTTTGAAAGATTTAGAAATAATGATTTTAGTGTGGAGGATAAGGCTCGTACTGGAAGACCCGTTGACTTTGATGATGATGCTCTCTCTGCACTAGTTGAAGCAGAACCATCTTTAACAGTTGATGAAATTGCGGAACGTTTAAATTCATCCCATGGAACTGTTCATAGACATCTACAACAAATCGGAAAAGTTTCAAAGCTAGGAAAATGGATACCACATGAACTGTCAATAGCTAACTGACAACAACGTCAACTGCTCAACTCAAAAGCTTCAACTGGGAAATTTTACCTCATCCACCATATTTGCCAGATATTGCTCCCAGTGATTATCATCTTTTTCGGAGTTTGCAGAATTTTTTAAAAGGAAAAACTTTTGAGGATGAGAACAATGTAAAAAAGGCTATTTCTGAATATTTTGATTCAAAACCGAAATCATTTTACAAAGACGGGATTAAAAAGCTACCATCAAGATGGGAAGAAATTGTACAAAATAATGGTGAATACATTATAGATTGAAATAAGATTTAATTAAAATTTTTTGTTGCTTTTTTTGTAGATAAAAATGCGCACGAACTTATGGACTGACCTGATAGTTTCTTACCTGTGTGCTGGCTGATTTTTGTAATTTTACTATATTTTTTACTGAAGATAGAAAATGTTTTAGTGAAGCGAGGTAAAAAGTGTAGAGAGATTCTGATTTGTTGAACATTTCTATATATTACGCTTAATTTTGATGTATGTGTGCAATATTTTAATTAATTGCATTGCAATTTTATTTGGGCATGTTTTGCAAATAGACATAATGTGAAAAAAATTGAAAAACATTATAATGTTCATATTATATGTTTTATTTACTAAGGAAACATTGCTAATTTAAGAATACATTGATAATTTATTTTTCATAATGTAGTAGTGTATGATACAATTTAAAACATGGGATTACACACAGTCCTACATTACATTCGGTACACTGATACGAAGTGTCTTTTCTGGCTGCTTTTCCTGTTAAGTACTTCTGCTTAACACTGCAAACAATGCATCTTCTTTGGGCTTTTTTTTTTGTCCTTTTGATATTTTTACTCTCTCTAAAAGGTGTTTTTTTGGTAATCTCGCAATTTTTTTATTTCCAATAGGATTATTGTTGATATTTTCTTTTGGAATTAACACTAAAGCAGAACATATATCTTGTATAAATTTAACAGTTGTTATCTTTTTAGTCATTATTGTATTATGTCTATATCTTTTCAGTGTTATTTAGTAGTATTATTTTTAGTATTTAGTTATATCTTTTTAGTATTATTGTATTATGCAAAATGCATAAATTTGTTACACACATCATTAATACATGAAAAGTTAGTTTTTTCCACCATTTCACAGTTTTATGTGAAAAAGCACTATGTGACAGCCTCTGGTCAACTAGATTGACTCCTGCTTTGTGATTTTTATAATCAATAACAGCGGCTGGTTATTTTTCAAATTATTTTGCCCTGTACTTTGAACTTGATGCATTTTTGCAGTGTGTCTGGTACTTATCATATATACATCTCTTTTGTCTTTCCATCGTATAGCTAATATGTTATTTTTATGGCGAAATATTTGCTCTACTTTTTTTAATTTTGCTTCTTGTAGCGCTGTTGGCAGACCTTTTCTAGTTTTTATTACTGTTCCTACAATTCCAGTATCTACTTCACTCAAATATTCTGCAAGTGAAATACTGGTATAAAACCGATCAACGTATATTGTATGACCCTTATTTGATAGTGGATCAACTAATCTTTTTACTACAGAAGCAGCTGTGTTTTCAATATTTTGGTGTCTGCCGTGATAGACTTCAAAATTCCAAATATAACCAGTGTTTTCTTCAGCCAATATATATAACTTTATTCCATACTTTTTTGGTTTCTTTGCCATGTAAACTTTGAAACTGACACGACCCCTAAATGGACACATGCCTTCATCAATTGTCAAAGCTTCTTTAGCCCCTCGATGTGGGTTCCTGTCCGTGGTGAGGGGACCTCCCAGAGATGGTTTAGTAAGTCTTCTTTACCACCCCTGGGATCTGAACGCCCACCCACGTGTTTGCCGTGCGTGGTATCCCGTATGCCGGAAAGGGGGATCCTGGTAGTTGAGGGGNATCTGTAAAAAAGTATTTATTTATTGAATTTACTGCAAAATGATAATGCATATAAATATAATGTCGAATGTTTGATCAGAATTATATTACACACCTATCCTATCAGCAATAATGCTTGGGGTAACATTCGGGATTTAAGAGAGAAGTTAAGGTTGTTTAATTTCTCAAAAATATCTGACATAACACAACTTGGATAGCCATATGTCATTTTGAGAAAAGTAGCAAGATCACATTTTTGTTTGGTTAAAAATATTTAATAACAATAATCTTCCTTAAACTTTGATTTCTTGATATCCATCTTACTTCCGCATGTAATAATAAATTTGTGTAGTGGGAATCCATATTTTTACAGAGATTTGAAAATAAGTGGCTGTTAAGGGCATGGCTCTTAATAAAATTTATAATATTAACAGCATCTTGAAGCATATCATTCAATTCTGGTGCTAATTTTTTTGCTACAAGGGTCTCCCAATGAATAAGAAAGTGAGTAAACATTATATGATCATAATGAGCAGCTTGAAAAAATGATTTAAAACCAATATTTTGGCCTGTCATCACTTTTGTGCCATCTGTGCATACTCCACAGCAATTTTTCCATTCTAACCCTTCAGTTTTTAAAAATTCGTTAACTTTATAATACAGTGGGTGATCGGTTAACGAACATAATCCGTTCCAAGACTTTGTTCGCTATCTGAATTGTTTGTTAACTGATTATCGATTTACCACAGGTTTTAATGGGAATTTAATTAATTCGTTCTGGAGATTTCTAAAAATAAAAAATATATACTTTCTTACTATGTTTATTTATATGTAATAATAAAAATACATACGTACACAGTCTTGCATTTTTATTAGTCATGTTTTTTCGTTTGTGGGGGTTAAAGAATATGTCCAATGTCGATTGCTTTTCTGTCTTTATGATTTTACAGAAGTAATTAATAGCATTGTAATTGTAGAGAACCCTAGGCCTATTAACCTCAACTTGGTTTGGATGCCATTTTAAAAGACCGTTATTCTGACATCCTCCCACTTCTTCAAAAAATCTTTAATCGCAGATATCGGCATATATCCGCATTTTCAGAAGAAAACGTAAAAGAATTGTTTCTGTCAGAAATATAAAAAGCTGGAATTACAAGGGAGAGTTTCAAAGTTCGGAAGAATACTATCCGATCAGTATATACTGGGTAGAACGTCGATGTCGACGTCTCCCGTGCTCCGAAAAGTTTTGAATTGTTGCCTGAAGACAAAGGAAGACCTATCGGTATTCGTTATTTTACGTCTCTTCTTTTTGTGTTTGTTCAGTGAAGTGTTCGTTATCCGAACATGTGTTCGTTGTCCGATCATAAAAATTTTTCGCGAAAGTGTTCGTTGTCCGATCATAAAAATTTTTCGCGAAAGTGTTCGTTATCCGATTTGTTCATTAACCGATCTGTTGGTTAACCGATCACCCACTGTATATTCATTGCAGTACTTTCTGTTTTTCTCTGTTTTCGAGACTTTTCCAG